CTCCCCTTTATCAACCTGCTTTCTATCTGGTCGACTACACGAAAGTGTTAAAATGTAAAAAAAATATCAGTGACGTTCTTATATCAAAAAATAAAATTTAGATCGTTTAAAATAAAATCTATATTTTGAGACATACATTAGTAAGTAAGAAAAGTATTTACTGTTTTTTTTTTTTTTTTTTTTTTTTGCTGTTTCTTTTTTTTTTTCATTTCAAAAAACATAAATTGATTTAATGTTATTAAGTGCTCAATGGATGCAAAATACTAATCAGGTCAAAGTGAAAACGATAAAATAAAGAAGCCCAGAAATTATAAAATTATACTTAGCCAGTAAAACCTGAAGACTCTACTGTTGCTTTCAAAACTATTCTAGCTCGTTTGTTTTCTGTTTTGTAAAATATCAACTTAATTCGCATTAACCCCGCCCCTGCCCACTCACGTAGTTTAAATTTTTTGCTTTGTAATTAGCAATCTACACCAAAATGATTATGAAAATGTGAAAGTATTTACAAGCTGAAGTTCGAAATTCAGTTCTTAAAATTATAATATGTTTTCCTTCAAAGGCATCTTTTAAACTCTCAATATATTTGTATACAAACACAAAAAAACATTATTTAGCAATAACGCTTATGAAGGTCAATATTGCAGCACTACTGGATAATTTTAATTTGTTAAAGACGCATCAAAAACTCAGACACTCGCATCCATAACATGTTTCAGTAAGACAAGAATGTGTATGTGAAATAATGTCACGTCAAAAAGTGGTGAACAATCGTCATAGTAATAAAAAAGTTGGAAATACCAATACAGATTAAAATAACGGGAATGCAAGACTGTAAAGAATAATGACAAATTATTGAAGTCTTTCTTGACTGGTACTCGCATAACAAATCAGGAAAATATTGTATTATCTAAATTACCTGTTTAAATGTATACAATTACGCCAAAGTGTGTCAACATCAGTCAAATAATTGCCAATAAATTGAATGCTGAGCCTGCAGTATGTCACTTCCTGCAAGTAAATAATGATTTTTATTCAAGCTATAATAATGTAAGACAACTTGATTGCAATCCAATAATCACACGCTAAATCGTTTCTGTGTACTTTAAACATGTTTTACAATGTTATTATTCTGTTTATTGTATCAGAGAAGTTTAATCGCTAAAACACCTAAGTTTTCAAAGGTACACAATTTCAGTTCTGGTGCAAACAAATATTGAATTATATTAATAAAACTTGAAATTATATAAAATTCAAAGTGATATATGAAATTCTAGGATAAATTTCCTGTAGGTTTTGGACAAGAAAAAAAAACATTATTTACGTATACCCCTCTCGATTTTTTTAATTAAGAATAGCTCGGTATTTAATGTGATTTGTTTTGATTGTTCAAGAGCATATCTAATATCCATATTGCATGGTTCAAAAATAGAATAAATTCAATATACATTACTCACACAATCTTTGAGAAAAGCGATATGAAAAACACTTGAGTTATATACAAAGATCACAATTTGGATATTGTTATTCTTTGTTTTACTATAACTGTCAATTAACAAAAAGAAATTGAAATAAATGACCATGCTTATAAATTGTTATGGAAAGAAATATTCTTGGTTATTGTGTTACATGTATCCGAGGTATGGCTGAATTGAATAATTGCTGATAGACTGTATGAAATAATTGAGGTTAAAAATGTTTCTCTCAATGTATTATTTTGTTTTAAATATAAATCGTATCATTTCTTCTTCTCCAGTTTTCTACTCATGTATTTTAGCCGTATTGTAAGGTCCAGTAACCTTAGAATATACACTCGGCGGTGGTTATAAACAAATTCATTTACTCTCGTAATTACATGGAATAAAAAACTTCTATGTCATCAAGATAGTATATTAAAATAATAGTTTTTTCATTAGTATGTTAATAATCTTATTTATTCCAGGAGTTTTATGCTTTTGGTGGCCTACTTCTTGGCACACATTCTTAGTCCTACTTTTCGGTTTAGCCGTTAACTTGATTGATGAAAATGTGTCCTTTTTCAATATCACTTTTGATTTATGTCCCTATACAAAACAATAGCACCACTGCTTACTTCTTCTTTTGCTTTTTAGGTCCGAGGGATCATAATATTAAATGTATTATTTTTAGATTAAATATAATTTTGGCGATGGAAATTTTGATTTTGCTTTCGATTGAGTTGTAAAACTGCTAAGGTCTACGATTTTAGGATTACAAAGGACTGCGAGGGAGGCACAATGACCCTAAAATACCTCCTAGAGCATTCTTATAATATATTGTAGTATGGTTAGTGACAAAAATGCATTATTTTAAGAAAAATGCTATTTTGGTGATTTTATGCTTTCGATTGAGTTTTAAGACAGCTCAGGAGTTAATTTACATAGCAGTCCTTTGTGCCCCTGAGCAGTCCTTAGCGGTCCTGCAACTCATCAAAAGCATAAATTCTATCAACAAAATTATATTTTTTTCTTAAAATAATACAATTTTATCTCTAAACATACTGAAATATGTTAGAAGAATGTCCTAGGAGGTATTTCAGGTCCTTTGTACCTCCTTAGCAGTCCTTTGTGTTTCCTTAGCGGTCCTTAGCAGTGTTTAGTATGACCCATATAAAACAGTTTGAGTAGAACAAGACACTCATTGTTTACTGTAAAAACAAACAGATTATGTTACATGTATGTCATTAACGAAAAGAAAAAAATAAATTTGTTTATAAAGACGTTCAAACATTAAATAATAAATGATAAATTATTTCTTAAACCACATAATTAAAAAAAAGAAAAGAAAATGCTTGAATCTCAAAGAAGAAAAAAACCGTTGTTTTTTTTTTTAATTTGTACGATATTTTGCAAAACGTTTATACTGGGAAATTCAAAATAACCGTTTATTAAACTATAGAAAAAATGTCAAAGTCACCAATAATGTTAAAGTACACTCACGATAATTAGGTTGTACAACGAAGTGATTTGACAAACTGCCACTTAACGTCAATTTACAAGATTTAATCAAGTTACATAAACCGTAGTACTTTAACGGAAAAAAGCGATATTCACGAGTTGTTTTTTCCCCAACTAGGTCTGTGTTACACGACAACTAAATAATCGGATAGTGCAGGGATATTATGTACTGATATTGCGTTCCTTTACCATGTCTGTGCAATATGTTTTTTATAATGAAAAGGAAAGGGGAAAATATAGTATTTTAACAACTTACATCTTTCAACAAAAATCAATTATAAACACCAGCTTCGTACTATTTAATGTACATTATTTCCTAATTCGCTACGCTCAAACGTAAATAAATTATTTATCCCATGATAAAGGAATCGAAGGAAGAAAGAACAACAAATACATAAATTCACATTTAGGATTTGTTATCTACATTGCCGTTTATCTACATTGCTAATACATGTTCTTAGAAACAACACCAAAATCGTATATACATGACAATGACATTTCAACGTTAAATCGGTATAATATAATCATTTCTTTTATTGGTACATCAACATGGAAAACACACAGTTATGAACATACTTTCCCTGTCAGTATGCTGCGAGTCGGCTGCGCAACTCTACTCCATCGTGGGAGGGGGACGTAGTAGGAAACCAAAACTCATGGCCAACCACATTCCGTAAGTGTTCTGACATAATTTAATGAGAAGACCAATAAAAATAATCCACTTACTATATAAGATGTGATTAAAAGCCGAATATGTACGCTCAATAACTGCACACCTTCCGTGAATAAGTTCAAAATATTTTATAAAAAAATATCTTCTAATACAAAGAATAAACAAATTGTAGCAATTAAATGATAAATCAGAAAAGTTCAAGGTATCGCATTTCCTTTAAGAATCGTTCTCCAAAGTAACGGACATCCCGGAAAAGTAGTGCATCTTATTCTTGGAACAAAACCGGTAAAATATACAATATTTCAGTTAAATCAAAATCGTAACCAAAACGTAAAAGCTTGCGTAAATTAATCTAAAAATGCATCTTTATAATACCATTTTTCAAATACCATTGATATTTATGAATCAATTATAAACCTTGCAAAAAATAAATTATTCTGCGACTTTATGAATAATATTCTTATCGTTTCCAGCAAGAATAAAAATGGTACAATAAACGTGTGTAGCATGCAGAAAACCTCGAATGATGTACACGTCTAACCGACTTTATTATATAATAGTAACGCACGAAAATATCGTGCGTATCATTTTTAATGATTTTCAAAACAGTAAAACTTCGTTTATTTTAAGCTAAGATAAATATATTAAAAACATTTGATAGTCAATCTTTCAAAAAAGGACTGATTGAACACATCAGATCAGAAAAGTGAAAAAAAAGATGGGAACCATATGTTAATTAGTAAAATTGTGGAAAAATAATAATCCTTGTAAGCAAAGAAAACAACAATATTATATGAAAAAAGCAGCCTCGGTTTGATCGAGTCTGTGCATAAGAGATAATGTTAAAGTAAAACGTTTCTCCCACACCTAGCACCAGCTTAGGAGGTATCCAGTCTTCAACACTAACGTATGAGAAGCAATGATCTCAAAATACTAGAAAAATATAACAACAATGAATTCAATAAGTTAATAAAATATTTTTAGCATCTTATTTCTAAAACTTCCTTTGTAATAAACCTTTACTATAACTATACGTTTTATAATAATTCAAAATAATAAAGCAATAGCTAAATTAAGTAAGTTCGTTAATTATTCAAAACTTCTTGATAAATGTAATTTCTTAAACTTCCTTTGACATATAACTTTGCTATATCAACGTTAATTAAAAAGACAACAACAAAAATCGAAATAAAGCACATCAAAAAGAAACAACAGACATACAACACACATTAGTTAGTATCAAAATTTTCAATTTTCCAGAAATTTTGTAAAATCTGGAAAATCCCTCGAGAACAATGATTTTTAAAAGTAAAAATTGCAGACTCGGTTTTATCGAGTCTGTTCAGGAGAAAATGCAGAATCTCCCACGGAACTAGCGTCTGCTAACGCAGTATTCAATCTTTAACACATCAAAGTATTTGAGTCAATGATCAAGGAGAATGTTTGCTTTTCTTTATAAATTTTAACACTTTAACATTACTTTCTAAATGAAAATAGAGAAACTTATCCTGTCCGAGCTTACAGGTTTTTGTTAACTATGATTATGTATAGATTGTCAGCTGATATTTATTCAACAATTGTCAGCTGATATTTATTCAACGATAAAATTTGGAGAATACAATATAAAATGTCAATCTTACGCATTATGACAAATATTAAAGAAAATGTCTACCTTGGTTAAATTTTCTATCAATTACTCTACTTGGCGTGACAGCAAAGATAAAGATGATTAATTATGGATGCTTTTACTACATAAAATTAAGACCTTTGTTATACAAATGTAAGGATTTTAGCAATGTCACAGACTTAACAATTATGGTTAAAATAATACAAGTGTAAAGGAAAGGTTTTAATGAGCGTGAACGTTATCACCTTATTATATAATCATATAGATTTAATATACTTTATCATAAATATAACAATATGGCTTTACATATCCTAACAATTTCATTAAAGAAGAGTGAAAATTTACTTTTAAAACAGAAAAGTGAACGCACAATGCCCAAGAATCTGAAATATCTGTTTCACAGTTTGCAATGTTTCACGAAAGAGACTTTGTTTGACAATCCACGAGATATGTAACCAGTCCGAGAACGGCAGATCACAGAATGACGGAGACCCTGGTGGAGGTATGTTATAGCAGATTGGGTGTGTCTGAAAAGCGTAGTCTTGAATCTCCTGGCATGTTAACTTTTCTTTGAATAATACAGGTGCAAGTTGTTTCTAAAACAAAATAATTCTTAGATATTACTGAAAGTGACTATAAATTATAATTCGTTTTGCATAACAATATTTTAAGAACATTGTCAATAAATAGATTCGGGCGAACATTAATGAAAAAATGTTTGACCGAATGGAGAAAATATCATTACACCTCATATGTATATCATGCAACAAAACATGACAATTTGTCCTCAAAACTGAATTTCTTTCAATGCAAACATTTTTTCGTATATCAGTGAAATATTGAGTGTCTATTTGATTTACCACAACTTCGCGAGCTACTTGAAATACATTTGTTTACGTTTATCAGAATTATTTTAAAAGTCCTGCAACAACATTGAAAACATAAGTAAACAAAACAATAAACAAACTTTGATTTAATGAGATAGATTAGAATAAACTAATGTTAATTCTGCTGTTGCGCCAGTGCAGGTTCAAGTAATAATGATTTATTTTGTTGACATGGATATTTTTGTTACAAACTAACAAACTATATATTACCTGAAGGCATGCTCTTGTTTCGTCTATCCAACGTTTTCCGAGGTCAGAAAATTCAGCTTGATATTTACCAAAGTCATTACATATGGAATCACCGAAAGCTATTGCGTAAGAATCACCTGAAGCTTCACACGGAAATCGTTTCTAAAAGTTATGAATAATCTATAGAAAATAAGGTGTTTTGAAAAGATAACAAGACTAGCAAGATAACAAAATATGTTCCACAAAACATGTATTCTCTACAATAATATTTCTTTCCTTGATTAATTTGAATACCCTGTTAACTAACAGGTAAATCTTTATTGACTCTCATTGCTATCTGCTCCAAATCAACCAAGGACTTTATATTATTTGATATCATGTTAGCAAAAACATGTGTTTGCGCGTGCAACATGATGTAATACAGATGCCTGCGCATGTTCAGTGAAACAACACAGGTGTCTTTGTGTGCAGCAATATAACACAGGTACCGTCGCGTGGAAAATGATATAACACAGGCGCTTGCTCCTGCACAGTAATATAACACAGTCATGTGCCTTCGCCTACACAGTAATAAAATACAAATCCCGGCGCGTGCATATGTCCCTGCGCAAGTACAGTGATAAGCAAGTACAGGTACATCTAAGTACCTGCGCAGGGACATAATGATAAATTAGTTATTCCAATACCTTATAAGCATAAAGTGTTATTATATAGCAATCATGATAATGGAAGAATTGATAAAAATATATAAGCAAAATGAAATGTACTGGAAAAGAATGCTTGGTTTGATAAACATTTTTGTATTCATTTTTTACGGTGTCCTTATCGTGCCATTTAGAATGTCGTCCGTCGCGTCTAAGGGTAGACACACGACAATGCGAAGTGACATCGCGACAATGCGAAGCGACGCTCGACAACGCGAAGCGATATGCGACAATGCGAAGCGACGCTCGACAGTGTCAAACGATATGTCGCACTGTCGCCTAGAAATGTCGCGGTAAAAAAGGGCGACATTTAAGAGATGTCGCTTCGCGTTGTCGAGTGTCACTTAGCATTGTCGAGCGTCGCTTCGCGTTGTCGCGATGTCACTTCGCGTTGTCGCGATGTCACTTCGCGTTGTCGCATTGTCACTTCGCATTGTCGAGTGTCGAGGTTGGTAGAAGTGCATACCACGACACTCGACAATGCGAAACGACAACGCGACAATGCGATACAACGCTCGACAATGCGAAGTGACACTCGACATCGCGAAGCGACATTTTTAAAATGTCGAGTAAATGTCGCGTTATTTTTATGATTTTTACACCGCGACGCTCAACATTGCGAAGCGACACTCGACAATGCGAAGCGACACTCGACAACGCGAAGCGATACTCGACAACGCGAAGCGACACTCGACAATGCGAAGCGACATTTGGAATAATATCGTATCGCATTGTCGTGCGTCTACCGGTGCTTGGTCAGAATTTACTAACTCACCGACAAACGGTGCGATCATGGAAGGGGTCGCACTAAACTGCTGACGAATTAGCTGACGATATAGAATATATAGGAAACTGCTTGACCAGTTAAACAAAGAAGGATTATCGAAAACTGCTGACCAGTTACACAAAGAAGGGAAACATTGAAGGTGTCAAATTGCCGTTGGTGATATTACAGGCGAGGTCGAGAAATACTTGATAAAATGTTTTTTCAAGATGTCAATATTACAAAATGATACATATTAATTATAAAAAATTCAATTGATATATACTGTATATTTCTCAATTTATTTTGATATAATATTTTATTTAAGTACCTTTATGAATTTTCTTCTATGTGTTATATATTGGTTAAAATTTTAAAAATGTAGTCAAAATATGATGTACGAAAAATCATAATTTGTTTCAAGTATGTATAAAACTATGCATCATAGGTTAAAATATATACATGTACATATACGTAATGTATATTTTAACAAAATATAATTATTATGTCGTATTTAGTGCAAATATGAAATAAAGTGATTTCTATTTCCTTATTTGTTCGTATAATTGTATAAGTAATATTGAACAAAAATTAATAATGTGCTAATTGTTATAGTTAATAAGCTTTTATTACATTATAAACAACATGTTTCCACAGATATCCATTAAACTGATAATTTATCGAGATCGATATGCCCCCAAGGTCATATTAAAATCGATTTCACACGCGACGTGTCATTCTTGATTTATCTATGACAAAATACAATAAACAGTCAAAAATATGTTATTAAAATGCTGACCATATTGTAGAATCTGCTGAAAAGTTAGATATATAGAGAAAAATATATTTAAATGCTACGAAATTGTTACTCATTATGCAAATTTAATATATTTTATAAAATAATGTCGACATTTAATTAAGTAAAAACACTGCTGACCAATTTAATGTTAATTCAAATTGATTTAAGCCGTAAAACTCTCTTATTATATATGGTCAGCAAATTTAACGCTCTTTACATTCAGGCGAGAAAATGCTGACCAGTTAAACATATACACATGTAGTAGAATCTGCTGACCAGTTAGATATATAGGGAAACTGCTGACCAGTTAGAAATATAGAAAAAAAATATTTTGTCGTGAAATTTTTAATTCATTTCATAATGTACGAAATTCAATATATTGTATAAATTTTGTCGACATTTAATTAAGTTAAAACACTGCTTGACTTATTTAATATTAATTCAAATTGCAATTATTGCTTTTGAAAATACATTTTTTTTTCCGTTACAAGATTTTTCTATTGAAATATCACTAACAAGAGATTTTGATAAAACTTATAACATCATAATTCTTTATAAAACATTAATTCAAATTTTTGCATATCTTTAGAGGTATAAAAAGCTGTTTAATATATATCCTTTTAAAATCACGGATTTATATTACATGTAGTAATGTAAAATCCGTGTTAAAAATGTATGATATTATGGTACTTTAAATGTATAAATTAATTTAGTTTATAAACATAGTCATATAAATGCAAAAAATAAAAATATAATTAAAAGAATAAAAGTAATTTCCCATCTTTTTATTACCCCCTACGGCGTGTTTATATAACTTCACACCTTCAATGTTTCCCTTCTTTGTGTAACTGGTCAGCATTTTCCGATAATCCTTCTTTATTTAACTGGTCAGCAGTTTCCTATATATCTATATCGTCAGCTAATTCGTCAGCAGTTTAGTGCGACCCCTTCCATGATCGCACCGTTTGGCGGTGAGTTAGTAAATTCTGACCAAGCACCGGTAGACGCACGACAATGCGATACGATATTATTCCAAATGTCGCTTCGCATTGTCGAGTGTCGCTTTGCGTTGTCGAGTATCGCTTCGCGTTGTCGTGTGTCGCTTCGCATTGTCGAGTGTCGCTTCGCAATGTTGAGCGTCGCGGTGTAAAAATCATAAAAATAACGCGACATTTACTCGACATTTTAAAAATGTCGCTTCGCGATGTCTAGTGTCACTTCGCATTGTCGAGCGTCGTATCGCATTGTCGCGTTGTCGTTTCGCATTGTCGAGTGTCGTGGTATGCACTTCTACCAACCTCGACACTCGACAATGCGAAGTGACAATGCAACAACGCGAAGTGACATCGCGACAACGCGAAGTGACATCGCGACAACGCGAAGCGACGCTCGACAATGCGAAGCGACACTCGACAACGCGAAGCGACATTTCTTAAATGTCGCCCTTTTTTACCGCGACATTTCTAGGCGACAGTGCGACATATCGTTTGACACTGTCGAGCGTCGCTTCGCATTGTCGCATATCGCTTCGCGTTGTCGAGCGTCGCTTCGCATTGTCGCGATGTCACTTCGCATTGTCGTGTGTCTACCCTTAGACGCGACGGACGACATTCTAAATGGCACGATAAGGACACCGTAATTTTTTGATCGCCTGATTGGCTGTTATAATTGATAATTACAAATCAATAAGATTGAAATATAAAAATGCCCTACATAAATAAATTTAAAAAAAACTTTCCTAATACAATAACGGACAATAACAAAATATATTTATAGAAAGTTCAATGGATCACGTGAGTTATTGATTATTGATTCACAATCGGGGGTATAAAAGTGAACAGCAATTGCCATCAAACGTTTGCACATATAAGTTCTTGCTATAACAATTGCTATTTTAGTATTTAGTGTTCATGAAAACGACTTTAAATTAATTATCATTAAAGCATCCTATGAAATTAGTACATTATAAATTCTTACCACAAGACACTTTTTGTACCAAGTGCAATCATTACCAGATGGGTTGTAACACCACTGGTCAACATCAACACTTGCTGCTCCGGCCAGTTGAAAAACGTACAAGATTATAGTACGAAGCGTCATATTAAGGATGTACATTCAGGTTTAAAAGTTTATATCATATAGCCTTAAAAATTTACACTTTGTCTTAATGTGACACACATTTCTAAATCGGGAACAATTGTCTTATATAGTACTTATTCAACTGATAAAATGGGAAGTGTTCTTAAATTGTCTTCTTACTTAAAGTTTATGTCAGGTAAGATTAAGAATGTTACCATCAAAAGTCTCAGTCAAACCAAACATACAGCATTTATGGTTTTACTGTAATAGGCGTTCTTTAAGAGTGTTACAATGTAATCTAAAACAAATTAACAATACAAATACAATTTTCATATGCAAACAATTTACGAACAGACATTTTTTGATCTCTTACACCATTATATTCTATTGAAAATAACAACATGTGCCTTCCAACATGCCGTACGACATGGTGTGCTAGTTTGTAAAAATGGGTGAACAAGTTCTGATACAAAGTTTAAAAATGTCAGTAGATGTATATCAACGTGACTATCCACTTGATTTATTTTACTTAAATAACAGGCATTCATTTGGTCCTTTATAATTAATCCATTAGTGTCCGGACTTCTACATGTATCGAACTTTACTTACAGACACTGATAAATCATGAAATTACTCTGAAAATCATGATATATATCGTGTAAGTGTTATGGTAAAAAGATTTGATACAAAAGTTATTATCTGCTTTGTGACAATGATATAAACGACTTCCCAAAAAATGTTAACAAATCCAAATTCCTTCAGACCTATATTAGTTTAAATATATTTATTTCCCGAATATTTACATATGCATGTACAATACCAATCAAATATTTTTATATATTAACAAGACCTGTGCTAAGATTTTCTCAGTTCTGCATAGTTACATACAAGGGGAATTTATTCTGCAATCTTGCTTACCTGCTTTTGAAAATTAATGGTATTTAAAGCTTTTAGAAGCAGCGCGCTCCATTGTTCTCAGTGAATATTATATATTATAATAATATATATTTCGCTGGATGAATAGATTAACCACGATTAACTGACTAATTAGTGCGTCGCAAAAGTCGCATATACATAAATGAGTATGTACATAAATATACAAATAAAAGATATAGAAATATATAAACCATATAGAGAGAAAATGATTGGAATGGGGGATATAAAGTGGTCGCATCAATCAAGATTCGCTTAATACACATAGAAGCATGTGCATGTTAGACTGAATTTCAAAATATTAAAATAACTACATAATTAGTGTTTAATTTAAACCGTATAAGAACAAAAAACTAAGATATCTTGAACATTACATATTCACACAGTTTTCCTTTCAATGTCCTATCTATATAATTTTATATATACATGTAAATGAATTGAACAAAATTCAAAAGCATGACAAATAATAAAAAATACACGTTGAAAATGGCCATTTTCTATCGGTACTATTCCTCTTGAGTAAGAAAATCTTCGGCTTTTGACCTTTAAATAATATGTATTAAACTATTATGATTGAGGAGTGAGCAGTCCTTAATTGGAAAGTGGGTGTAAAAAAGAAAATAAGGCGTTTATTTGCATATTTTACAGCTAAACAATGTCTGGATTCTGCCTTTTCTCGCATGTTCTGTGGTTAATAAGTATGATAAGAATATTTGTCAATTAGTTTGTAGTATTTGATTTTAATATGTAATGTCTCGTATGCTTAAGTTTTGAGAAACAACAAAATGTGATTACAAAACAAATGTAAAAAAAGTGAAAGCGCAGACTCATTAAAAGTACTTATTATGATAAATTTGTTTTCGTCTGTAATATTATATAACCAGTTCAGACGTAATAATGAATACATCAGTCATGGTCCCTAAGGTTTAATTAAAATTGACTTCAATTTATTAACCAGATATAATACAGGATAGTTACATGTCTATCTAATTACATATTGTGTAAGGCGTAATAAGAAATAGGCAGACTTTCTTGTTTTGAACGGAAGAACGATATTTTGTTCTTGCTTGTTCTAGATAGTAGTCATATAACTAAATTTCTAAATAAATATCAAACATAAGATTAAATCTCTTTTGATTATATTCATGGATATCTTTAATAGTAAACAAAAAAAAAACAACATTATTATGGATTAAGGCTACCGACGTGTGTTTTTTTAACAAATGTTAAATAGACATTGTCAAATTCGGGTATGAAGCCGGAACGTCCTGCCTCGTCAAATGTAGAAATACAGTTTCGTCACCGTAAAAAGTCGTGCGCATTTTTTTATGCATATTTCGAATGTTGAACTACACAAATAATGATTTAAAATGTAATTTAGGGAATAAATTGCTTGAGCAACATCGAGTCATTGCTGGTTTGTGCGGTCTTCATCTCTTTTACCAAGAGAAATAAAAAGAGACACATAACACAGTTTAGGTCATATGGCGACTTTTCCAATGGAGGCAGACATCAGGTGCCAATCCGTGTATGCATTAATTTTAGGCACGAACGGGCACCTAATAAGAACCACCGAAGATTTGTAAGCTTGCTTGAATGCTTCAATAGCTTTTTGGCTGTAATCGAACCAACATTGATGATAGGATGAACATACTGAGTAGCGGACGTATTGTTCTACTGTTAAATTCATTATTAATAGATAATATACAGTCAGAAATTATATACAAAACGTGTAAATATTAACAATAAAATGGAAAATCCGAAAATAAGGAAAAGCAGTATCGATGCTAGGTATCATATAATTAACTTGTTTCTTAACTTGGTGGTGTGATATGGATGGTGTCTATCAAATTATTTTAAACATATTGGCGCTATTTGGTGCTATTTGACGAATTCAAAACCCAATTGCGAATATAAAGCTTATTTTTTTATTTTCATTTACTATAATAATTACATTACTTCATATAACGACACATCACTAACATGTAAAATTAACATAATTATTATGTTCATGGTGTTTTATAATATACGGTTGACGTACTAAATTCAGTGCCGAAAGTTTACAATTTTAATCTACTTTGCTTTTTGTTAAGACTATTAAGCAGGGATAGAAGTTATACTATAATATATCAAGTACAAATATTTTATTTCAATGACGCTAGATACGACTTTGCCTTATATTTCACATTGATATATAGGAATAAATACACATGCCTTTCAACTCACTCCCTAGATTTCTATGCGTCGCATCAAATGATATTCTTGGTTTTCATTTGAAAGTTATTTCATCTGTTGTAATGAATCTGCGGTTTAATAAAGACGACGAGTCTAATAAGAAAATAAATCTTTTCTTGTTATGGAATTCGTGGGAGTGAAAAAATATTACGATTCGTAGTAAAGAACCATTTATAGAAATTGTCTGGTTTCAGTTGTATAAGTTGTAAACATCTAGTAAATTTAGAAGATATTTTCAGGTCATATCTCGCCCCCTCCACTTACTTATATTACATACATATATTTTTTTTATTTAGATGATGCCGATGCCTTGACATTCTGACTGTTCTAAATATTTTCATAACCGGCATTTATCTAAATGTCACAAACATTCTATGAATAGAGTCGTTAATTTTATATAAACCATACATTCATTCAACAAAGGGTGTGGTTTAAAATAAAAGAAAAACAGGATCAAGTTCTGTATATAAAGTTATCTATATATTGTAGGGAAAGCAAAAGATAAACATTATTATTTCATGTTCATATAGATGGTAAAAATAGGCAATAAATATACGAGCTTGTCATTAATTTGAATTGTCATGACTGGTTACAAATAATATTTTATTGTCATGGATTACTGATATAAGAACTTGACTGCATGGCCAACAAATAATAAAACATTTTTTCCATAATGATGGAAAGATAAAATCAATTCAAATCTTTTGTTATATATTCTTTTTAAAGAATGAATATCATAATTGATAGTATCAGTAAGCTCAGAACTCGTAGCGCCTTTTTTTATCCACTGCCTATTATAACGTTAGTCTATTTTATTACTTGTATAATAATTCTAACCGTTTCAAAACTTAATATTTAAAAAATAGTCTTGTCCATCTTTCAACTTGGACAATGCCATTTAGCATTTTAAAGGAACAATTTCAAGATGTTGACTAATGGAATAGCGAACAGTTAAGACCATGATTACCCGGCTATGATGTGCCGGCTGGTCATGGTCTGCAATGGTCGTATGTGTAGGATCAGTTGCCACCAGCATGCCAGTTGAAGGATAAAGCGTGTTTACATAAAGAAAATGCGCGATATTTATGGTGTTCAAATTTTTTACCATAGAAAAATCGACCATTCCAGTAGGCGGAGCTTAATTCTCCAATTTACTTCATAATTAGAAATTGCAATATTGACCACTTAATGAAATCACTTAATGGTTTTATTTAATATATATTGTGCACAATATCAAAATTAACAGATAAGTGGAGCAAAAATTTGAAAATATCTCGATGATGATTGGATGAAAATCACAAGAAATGGCAGAGTGAACTATAATACCAGTTACTGCATGTTTACTTCTCCCTTAATGTATACAGGCGTTACGCAATTTTTATGCAAGAAATATCTTTTAACGGACAATCTTCATTAGAAAATGAAATTACATTTTCTTTTTAATTTGTATATTCATCTAAGTTATTTGTCCATTATATAAGATTAAAGTTAAGTACTTGTTCATGTAATATATCTAAAACATATCACGACAAATTTTCTTTCTAATATGAAATATTTGATTAGACTTTTTATTGCGTCAAGCAAAATACTCACATTAATGCAATTAAAAATCTTAAAAACCTTTAACTCAATTACATTCCTTAGAAATGTGCTTAAGGAAATTTTTAGATGTTTTAATGCAGAAAGAAATTGGATATATTATGTATAGTGTTTTTTTTTCTTTTATTATTTGAAAATTATAAAAAGAAATTGATTAGAATATCAATGTCCAAGCAAATTAAGTATAGAATTTTGGGATTTCCTTTTGTTATATCATTTCAAAATGTTATTAATTTATTTCGTGATATCTTATTGGT